GCCTGGCAGAGCGGCCCCCAGGGCGGCTCTCTCAAAGCAATACAGTTCCTCCGGCCTGGGGGACAGCAAGACAGGGGAGAGGGTTGGGTTGGGGACCTGGGGGTTCCCTGTGTACAGCTGTGTATATTCAGGGGTGTTCTCTGTCTGGTACCCGCTGTGGGCGTCTCTGTGTGTGTGAACCCCCCCTTCCCCGTGCCCTGCATGACCTGTGATGCTGCAGACACCACCATCCTGTGTGCAGGGGTGTGTTGGGGGCACCGAGGGGCATGTTTCATGTCCTGTCGCACCCTCCACCCCGTGACCCATGTACTCGGTTGTAGGAAGTAAAGAGAACTGAGCACAATTCACTGGATTCTAGTCGAATCTTTCTCTAAGCAATTTTCCCGTTCCCGCCCTTCTCCCTGCCCCGGATCCGCCTGTGGTGCTAGTGTTGGGGTCGGGGGTGTTTAATGCTGGTGGGCAGCAATAAAGGGCAGATCTGCCCAGATGCCTGTATCCCCAGGGTGCTGAGGGCAGCAGGAAAAAGTGGGGACCTTGCGGTGCATTTGCCCCACCCTTCCCCCACCTCCCTGGGCTAAAGCACAATGCTCTCCCTGCAGATGGATGCACCCTGCACCCTCCAGGCCCCTGCTCATGTCCTCTCCCCCCGCCCCCACCTGCTTTGAGCCCTCCTCCCACCACATCCTGGTTTTCTATGCTGTTTTGGTGCAAGTACAACTGTCGTAGTCATGGCTTTGGGATGGGTTCTGTTTATTAAAATCCTATTGCTCCTACTGGCCCTGTGTCCCGCCTCCATTCCTGTGGTTGGGGGGAAGGAAGGGCAACCCGGCCGCCTTTCCACCGGCCCCCATCAGCCATCAGAGACCGGGGGCCATAGCTGCTCCTCCAGCAGGGCTATGGTGAGCATGAGGCCGCCCCCCAGCAGCATTCCCAGCCCCTGCAGAAGCACATGGAGCGTAGGGAGGGGCTCGGGAGGACGAAGCAGGGCTGGTAGCTGAAAGAAAGGGAGAACGTCAGGATCCTGGCCTTGTCTCTGCTCCCCCTGAAGCACGAGAGGGAGGCATCGGAAAGTACCAGCAGCCCCTCCGAACTCCTCCAGGCCCTTGTTCTTCAGACTCCCCTGGGCCTGGGCTCCAGCACCCTTCCAGGTGGCCGGGGGTGGAGGTGGAGAGACCGGTACTTCCCTCCCCGCCGAACCCACCTCCCCGCTTCCCTTGCTTTTCTCTGCAGAGCCCCACACCTCTCACCATGTCCACAAGGGCCACATAGAGGAAGACCCCAGCAGTGACACCAAACACCCAGGGAGTGAGGGGGACAGGGCCCAAACTGAGCCCCACCCCCAGGGCTGCACCCCCTAGTCCCAGGGCTCCAGACACCAGGCTCAGCAGCAGCAAGCGCCGGAAGGGCAGCCCTTCCTGGAGCAGCACCGCGAAGTCACCTGTGCGGAAGAGAGGACAGGGTGGGAGGGTACGAGCCAGGGCTGCCCCTCCCGCCCCCGCCCCCCCTCCCCGAGGCCTCTCCTTTCTGGAGCCCACCCCACCCCACTTCTGCCGTTCCTACCCAGTTCGTGGGGTAGCTCGTGGCAGAAGACCGCTAGGGTGGTGCTGAGGCCACTGGAGAAGCCATCGGAGAAGGCAGCGCCTGGGGTTGGCAGGGTTGGAGGTCGGCAGTCTGGGGGAAAGCGCTCACCAGGGGCACGGCCGCCGCTTCCTCCTCTCCCCCACTTCCTGGGAGCCCTCTCCTGGGCCCTGCCTCCCTCCTTCCGCTCCCCTCGCACCTATGGCCAGCCCGTCAGTGAGGTTGTGCAGACCGTCTCCCAGGAGGACCATCCACGTGATGTTGGCGCCACCGCCACCCTGGTGCCCGTGACTGTGGCCTTGGTGCCCAGTGGGGGCTGGGGCTCGTGGGGGCTGGCTGGCCTGCTCCCTGCGGCCCCGAGCTTCTGGCTCTGCAGGAAGGACAAGGACAGTGCCGGTGGCTGCAGGGGAGAGCTGGGAGCGGGGAGCCTACTCTTCATTTTCTCTGCTTACCTGGAGCTGCCTGTAGCGGCTGAAGGGCCGTCCCACTGCCGTCCTCCAGGTCCGGGGCCGGTATTCTGAGATCCTTTCTTTTTTGCCCGCAGCATCTCTGAAATGGGAGGGTATCCCTCCTGGTGGAGGAGGCAGCAGAGCCGGGGGCTAAGGAGCGGCCAGGCTCCCAGCTGGGGAAATGAACACCTGGGCTCACCTCTAGCACTTGGGGGTGTTTGGAGGCCTCTCCACTCCCTTCCCGGGCTGGCGCCTCCCTGTTTCTTGTTGACTTGGACTTGGGAGAGGAGGCCCTTCGGCCAGAAATCCTGGGTCTATGCTGAGGAGCCCCTACCCACTCCCTGTTAGTTGCCGGGTCCTGCCCCCTCAGGGCAAAGGGCAGAGCCCCCGAGCCAGGAGCACACTGCCAGCGCCTCAGGTCCTGGCTTGTGTGGCCCGCCCTTGGCCAGAACTGCGGTTTGGGCAGAAGGAGGAGAAGAGGGTATCACTCACTGGCCTGAGGCCTCGGCGCCGCCGCAAAAGCCCTAGCACGTTCTCCAGCACAAAGAGCAGGAAGAGACCTCCAAGTACTGACAGTCCCGGTCCCAGGTCCTCCTCCGGTGGTCCGCTGGGTCCAGCGTGCTGCCCTCCTCGTGCCTGCCAGCGAGGGGGTCAGGGCAGACCCCAGAAGCCCGCGCGCGGACCACAGCCCCCTCCTGTGCGGGCGGCGGCAAGCCTGCCTTCGCTCTCTACTAGAAGGCAGCTGGGGGCCGCAAACGGGGCTGGGGCGTGCAGCGTGGGGGCTGACAGGAAGGGGGAGGGAACCCCTTGGGGACACGGAGGCTGTCCACCTCCGCGGGGCGGGTGGAGCGAGGAAGGGGCTTCACGTACATGTGGCAGCAGGTGGAGCAGCGCGTCCCCACAAAGCGTGCCCACGGCCAGGGCCCCCAGGAAGCCCAGCAGGGGCCGCAACAGACGTGGTCCCAGGAGCCGCAGCAGTAGCAGGGAGAGGGGAGAAGGGAGGCTGAGCAGCAGGACTGCCAGGGCACTATGGACCAGCGCTGGGGAGAAGCAGGGACTGAAATTAGGCTAGGGACGGCCGGAGGGCCTCAGAAGCAAGGTGGGGCAGAGATACAGTGCAAGGGGAGACAGCACCCCCAGTGAACCCCCTTGCTTGGCTAAGGGCCCACTCCCTACCAGGACTCCAGGCACCCTGCCACCCACTGTCACCCACTGACCAGACAGAAGATCCCCTGGGGGAGCTGGGGTTGCGGCCTGGATGCAGACACGGCTGTCGATCTGATAAAGCAGGGCTGGACACAGCAGAGCAAACTGATGAGGGGTCAGAGGAGCAGCGGGGCTCAGGCCAAAATTGACCAGCAGCTGGGAGCCATTCAGACACTAGGGGAGTTGAGTTGGAGGTCATACATTGGGGCATCGCTGAGAACTGTGACTCAGATCTTTAATGTCTGTCCTTCCATTGCATGGACTCCTGGGTCTCTCTCCTGGGTCCCCTTTGCTCACCCCAGCAGGTGCATCAAGGATTAGGGATAGTTCTGTATGATCAGTGTGTGTTAACTATTAGTGAATATTCAATCCAGTGCAGATATTCAACTCAATACAGATTAGGGGCCAGTAAACAATGCCACCATCTCCCTCCCTCCCAAGCCCCTGATGACTTCATCGATTTGGTGAGGGAGTTGGTTGGACCAGAGCCCTCCATTGCAGAATCTTAGAAGGGAAAGAACTCGAAATGCCATCCAACCTTCCTCGCAACAGCTCTGTCACATGTTCATCCAGCCTTGGCTTGAATGCCCCCTGTGAAGGGGTGCTCACCCTCTCCAGGCCCGCTTCAGAGTTAGCTTTTGCTGCCCTCTGGTGTACATGGAACAAGCCCACTTCCTGGCTGAACACAGCCTTCCTTTCCCTGCAGGTTTCCTCTCCAGACAGTCAGCCCTAAATCTTACCCTGGGCTGTTTCTCTGGATTCTCTGCTTTGCCAAGTGTGGTCCCTAAACCAGGTCTTGGAGATTTGGGTGTGGGCTCATGTGCGCTGAGCCCAGAGGAACCGTATCCCACTACTGGAATAACATGCCCTAAGATCACACCTGGACTGGGTTTTTTAAATTAACTGTATTAAATTACTCTTTAGGGGCGCCTGGGTGGCTCAGTCAGTTAAGCGTCTGCCTTCAGCTCGGGGCATGATCCCAGGGTCCTGGGATCGAGCCTGCGTCGGGCTCCCTGCTCAGTGGGGAGCCTGCTTCTCCCTCTCCCCCTGCTCCTGCTCTCTCTCTCTAATTAATCAATAAAATCTTCTTAAAAAATAAATTACTCTTTAAACATTTCAGGCCATCCAAATCCCATGGTCCTTCCCCCACACCTAGAGATCATCAGACTCACATCCTCATTCAGATGGTCAGCCAATGAATGGTCCAGCAGCAGGAGCCTGTGAAACAGGTCCAGGCCCGAGGGCGCTGGCCCATGGGGTGATGCTGGGGCCTTTGGCTCCTCTGGGTCACCCCACCCCGAGGGACCCAGAGGCAGCCCCGCCCAGACATCCACACTCAGCTCAGGGTCCTGTGATCTGGAATGGATGGGATAGTAAGTCAGACTGGCTCATGTTCTTTAAGAAACTCCCCTTGAGGGGCGCCTGGGTGGTACAGTCTGTTAAGCGAGGACTCTTGGTTTCAACACAGGTCATGATCTCAGGATCATGAGATCCAGTCCTGAGTCGGGCTCTGAGCTCAGCGTGGAGTCCGCTTAAGACTCTCTCTGCCCCCCCACCCCCGCTCGCTCACTCGTGCGCGCGCTCTCTCTCTCAAATAAATAAATCTTTAAAAAAGAAGAAAGACACTCCCCTTGAGGCTCCTAGTGCGCTTTGGGGGGAATGGAAGGAACAGCCACTAGCTGGAGTTCCTGGGACCCAAAAACCGTGGAATGTCAGTTCTAGGAGGATCTGAGAATTGTCGATTTATAGAAGGGTCTAGGAATGGGGGGGGTGTGAGAGTGAGAGAATTTGGGGGGGCGCAGCCGAAAGTGCTACAAATTGGGAGCCAAGTCAGCCTGGAGACATTGAGCACTGGGACTAAGAGCAAGGAGTTGAAGGGCCCAGGGATTTGGAAGAGGGGAGAATTAAAAGGCAGAGGCAAAGGGGGCCGTGAAGGAATACAGGGAGTCAGATTTGGAAAAATTTGTAATTCCAGGAATCTGATTTTAGGAAGCCAGAGCTAGGCCACTGGAGACTGATGCAAGCCCTGAGAAAAGCAGGGCATGTGGCCTTTCGGGGTGGGGAAAGGGTCAGTACCTGTGCGTGGAATTGTCTCCCGCTGGGGCTGCAGCTCGACCAGCTGGAGGCCCGTGGTGGTGTCCCAGGCGGAGGGCCTGAACTCGGCCTAGCCCCAGGCTGTGGAGAAGCCGCGCTAGGCCCCCTGCGGTCAGTGTCCCGTTCTCCCCATACAGGCCAAACAGCTGGGCCAGGTAATGGTTCTGCTCCTGCTCAGCAGGGCCCAGGTTGGGGGCTGAGCCCCCTACCCAGCCCAAGGTCATCCACACACACAAGCCAGCCAGCAGATGACTCACTGGGGGCCCCATTATTGGGGGGGGATGGGATAGAGGCTCTGGTTCTGGCTTCTATTCCGCTTGGATCATCCTGAGGACTGTGCCCTGGAAGAACAAGGAGGAAGGGCCTGGGCTTCTGCTCTGCTGTCCAGCTCAGGCCCGGGGAACTCTCATTCCCTGGACCGTCCGGCCTTGAACCTAGCAGCAGCCCCCTTTCTAGCCTCCTTTCTCCCTCCCCCTCGCCTCCTTCTGGAGCAGCCTCTTATTTGCCAGTTCCTAGAACACCTTCCTTGACCCAGAGTGCCTCCCTCACCTGATCCAGAGCTGACTGCCCATCCTGTCCCCAAAACCCCACCCCGCAATCCTGCCCCACCTCTCGGGTCTCCCCTTAGATCACAGGGCCTCACACTCACTGGCAGTCTGGGAGCTGTCACTTCAGGTCCTGGGCAGGTCTTACTGTGGACGCCAAAGCGCTCCTGAGTCAGGAAGGGGAGCGGGCCTCAGCCTCCAGGCGGTCAGGTGGAATGGAGGCCGTGTCAGATAGAAGGCTGGGATGGACACCCCCTGCCAACTCCTAGCCCACCTGCCTTGGGGCGGGGTCAGGGAGGGGAGGGGCCAGTGTGGGAAGGCTCATGTCAGAGAGGAGTTAATGGTTCACTGGTCTCTGGGGTGGGGGTCAAAGGTCAGTCTTGGTTGGGCCCCTGAGTAGGGAGGGGCCACCCTCTGCCCCTGGAAAAGCCACATGGCCAAGGAAAACCTGAGCCTGGTCTTTTCTTCTAAATAATTCACCCCGCTGACCCAGTTGGTACCATTTTAGCCTTTCCCTGCATATCCTCCCCTTCCCTCCACCCCCCCCCCGCCGCCACCTTACATCTGGTCCTGGGCTTCCTTCATTTCCAACCCCCATTCCCCACATTCCCTGGGAAAGTGGGATTCGGGGGTCCCTCGGCTGGAAAGGGGTTAAAGAGGCAGGTAAGTGGCAAGCCCAGGTGCGTGCGGAAGAAACCGAAGAAACCGTTCTTAGCAACTCCTTGTCCCAGCCGAGTAAGAGCCAGAGCTCTGGGAACCAGTGGCCAAGAAAGGGGAAGCTCTGGTGGAAAGAGGAACAAAGTATCTGGGCTCCCCTCAGATGTCTAACCTGGCTTAAGATCAGGGGAGCACAGTCTGATTCGGGCAATCGTCCAGGGGGTTGAGGTTGGCGTTACCTGACCGCGAGAGACTGGAAGGACGCCCAGAGGAAGGGGGACACAGCCTTCTTGGTTCCAGCTGTGGGGGGGGTAGGCAGGCAGGCGGGCAAGGGTCACCTGCAGGGAGGGGGCAGGGGAGGGAACTACCTTAAAGGGGCAGGCCTGCTTTGCTTAGGCCTGGTTACCTGTAACCTGTCTTCCTTCCACCTCCTAGGGATAGCCCACTTTCCCAAATGTCCGACTGCTAACCTCTTCATTTTCCCACAAAAAGCAAAGGAGTCCAGTACAGAGCGGTAACGTTTATTAGGAAGGAGGGATTCAATTTGACTTCCACATCACACACACCAGAAATAGACTGTGACTGTCGTTTCTAAGAGGAAGGAGGGCGGGCAGAGAGCCTTGAATCCCAGGGGATAGGCAGCTTCAGCTGGGCAAGGCAGTGAGTATGGGCTTAGGGTGGATAAGGCCACTGTTCACCACCCCTCCAGTGAAATTTAGTGGCTCAAATACTACTACCTACCCACACCCAGCCCCACAAAAGCCAACAGCCTAGTAGAAGGCTGTGTGCTCTAGGAGACACTGGGGCTATGGTGGGTGGCGGGAAGGGAGGAAGGATGTCTTGCTATCTCTTGCTGTTCCTCCGGGTTTCCTTGCCGTTACTAACAGGGTTGCTGGACGGGCCCGAAGGGCCGGCAGGTGTGTGGTTGGGCTGGCTTCGGGTAATTCGGGTGCTGGGGGGATGCGAGGGTGCGTGAGGGGGGTGCGGGCCACCACCAGGGCCTGGTGGGGCACTCAGTCCATTTCCGTTCTGGTTCTCAGAGGCTAGCAGTGGGAGAAGGGAAAGAAACACAGGAATTAGAGAACTAAGGTAGGAGAGAGGTCCAGCCCCAAGGCCTCCCTCCCGCTCCCAGAGAGGAGCACGGTCTCCATCAAGCATAGCTGCACGTTCCTGCCAACTGGACCAATTGCGAGGAGTGGAGGTTGTATGCACGGAGCCCCAGAGAAGCCTCGAGTAATCATTTGGGAAGTTGCTACATGAGCCCTAGTGTGGTATTTTTCTCTTTTATTCAGCTTTGTATCAGGGAGGTCAGACTTAGAATTCGCTGTTTAGTTCTACTCAAGGACCTCTTTATCAAAAGTCTTTGTAAAACTGGAGAAGCATGGGTAGGGGAAGGGCCCGAAATTTCTGTGTTAAAATGTAAGAAGGATCTTAAAAAAAAAAAAAGGGTGGTGGGTATCACAATGATACACACATTTTCATTTTGGAAAATCTAGGTCAGAGTGAGCAAAACAATGATTACTCACACCCCCCAAATAATAAGTAACATTTTTGTGGGTAGCTTACATGTTTGATGGGAGCCAGGTGTGTGAGATGATCTCCCTGAGTGCCCACAACAGTGCATATGACTAACCTTGCCGCTCCCACAGTGTTACCGTATGTAGGACTATCTCCTTCATAGACTACCGGCTCCTAAAGGCAGGTGCTGTGTCTTATTCCTTGGCAATCCTCCTCTAGACATCCTGGCTAAGTGAAGATAGAGGCCTGCCTCTCATATGCATAGGACACTATGAACCCTACATGCGGTAGGAGTCATAGGCTAGTGGTTCTCCAACCACATCCCTGCTTAAACCCGGCTGCTCCAGACTAAGACACCTGTAGCCAAGAGGGAAAAATAATGCCTTTTCCTCAATTCACAGAAAACGTTAGGAGAGTATATAGAAAGTTAAGTTTTCATGCCATCCATGTTTTTTGTTAAGCCTTTGTACCTGTCAGATAACCAAATGAATAAACATCTGGCAGATGAATACGAGGGGCCAACAGGCTTATGTGTACCTTATTTAAAATGCTTTTTACAAATATAGAGTTATGGAGACCCGAAAATATATGTCATATTTTCCATTGAAAACATGATGTTGGGACACCTGGGTGGCTCAGTCGGTTAAGTGTCTGCCTTCAGCTCAGGTCATGATCCCGGGGTCCTGGGATCGAGTCCCACATCAGGCTCCTTGCTCAGCGGGGAGCCTGCTTCTCCCTCTGCCTGCTGCTCCCCTTGCTTGTGCTTTCTCCCCTGCCCCCGATAAATAAATAAATAAAATCTTAAATTAAAAAAAAAGAAAAGAAAACGTGGATGCTGATTTTTGTGGTGGAATTAAATGTTATTTCATGATGTGTCCAAAAAGCCACGTGACCCTGGTGGTTCTGACACAAACAATTCTGAAAACCATGGCAACTGGGGGTGTAGACACAGACTGAGGAAGGGCAGAAGCAGCCCGGAGCCTAGTAACACAGGGAGAAATCTAAGGCACGGATCAGAGGCAAGAGACAGCCAAATCCCAGGGAGTACTAGGGTCAGCTGGGAGAGGACCCAAAAGGAAAAAAAGAGCAGTAAAAACCCAGTTCCTAAGGAAAAGTGAGGGGATGAAGGAGATGATGTTGGTGAGTGATTCTAATCAAGAGATCAAAAAGCAGGGGCTTGAAGTATAGAAGATGAAAGAATCATAATCCTGAGGTCCAAGGTGTAGAAGAAGGGTCTTTAGTTTCAAGAAGAGTGATGACCCTAAAAGGGAACTACTTGGTGCTCTAAAAGCTATACCGTGTGGACTCCATGTTAGGTCCTATATATCCATATCAGAACCGTGGAATGAACTGAAAGGGCAAGGCGAAAAGGGCAAGGACCCTCCAAAGCAGCAGAGAGAAACAAGCTGGAAGGAAGGAGTGCAATCTTTGCAGAGAGACTGTTCTCATTTGTGTCCTTGAGTGGTAGTGACACAAGAATACCAGAAGTCTATCAGTGATAGAAACAGGTCCCTAAATCTTTTCCCCACAAGGACTTGCAAAAGAACGGGGAGAAGAACTAGGTGGATGGGGATACACTGAGGGAAGAGAAATTGGGATGAAGGCAATGCATCTTTCCAGGCTGGAGAGAAAAGGGGAGCTAGGAGAACCAGCGGCTGGAAGGGAACAGGTGTACCTGGAGAAACGGCAGGGGGTCCAGTGGTAGGCTGGGGAGCCGTAGGGCTGCTGTCGTTCTGCAACTGAAGGCACAAATTAAATACTCAGACTTTGCTCTCCACCATGCTTCTTGGCCTGACCTGCCCTCCTTCCCTACATCGAGGCCATGGGACTCACCGTCTTGTTGGGTGCCTGCTGGGCACTGTACTCTGGGTTTGGCTCACTGAAGTTAGGAACCTCGGAATAAACCATACAGAATCTGCAAGGGGAGAAATTGGCTAAAGCCTCAGACCCAGTCTCTGGGCCACTGCTGGAGGCCTCAGAAAGGTCCAGATACAAGACACAGACTGTGCACCCTTATGCTGCCTCACTGCAAACCTTAAACTTACCCCCTTGGCCTGGTGCTTCTACATTCCCACCCCCAAGACACTTACTCTCCAATCTTCTGAAGATCACCCCCACGTCCAGTGTACAGTGTCAGACAACCTTTGAACACTGAAGCGTATCTGTGGGGGCACAAAAAAGTAGGATTCAGAATACTCAGAAGAGTCACAGGGGCTGTTAACTCTTAACTCTACCCCCTTGGCGGTTACTGCCCTTGGATAACCAGGAGTAACCAGGAATTACCCTTTGGTGAGCCGAATAATGTCTCCAGGCTGGATCAGGTTGCCCACGTCGTCCCAGACAGAGATATTGATGCTGCCTGTTTTGTCTGCCACTTTGCAGGTCCGAACCTCGTGCCCGTCTTTTGTCTTGGTCACCCGGCCTGGAGGGAACAGATAAATGTTGGGGCGGGTGGGAGGAAGAAATGGTCAGAGGGATGAGATCTAGATACTGGTGGGGCGAGGGGGAATGGAGGGACAGCACCATGGAGAGGGCCCTGAGTGGAAAGAGGCCCAAGTGGCCCTGGAGGCTTGGATCTGGTGAGTTCCATCTACCCTACACTCCACTACAACTCTCCAGGCCAGGGTCTAGGAGAGATTGGGTGTGAGCAGTTTCTTGGGGTGCGCCCTGACACCCCTGTAGCTAGTTAAGTGCGGAGGTGGTGTTCTCCCCCTCCGAACCCCCCCCAACCGGGAGAAGCCGCGCAGGGGGCCCACCATCCCAGAATAGCCACCTGTCTCCAGCACAATGAAGATGAGGTTCAGATTCTTGAGCCCGGGCTTGATATCCTTCACGAAGGTCTCCGTCGTCATGCTGCCCGAGCCTCGGCACTACACTAGAAGGGGGAAAAGGGAATGAAGGCTCAAGGCTTGGAGTCTTCGCCCCCATACTCCACTTCCCAAGGCCTACCTACCACTCTAGGCTGGGGTCAGGCAGCCGCAAATCCTCTAATTCTTCTAAAAGGTAAGAAACGAACTTCCCCAGGAGCCTCCAACTTCAAAATCAGAATTTGAGGGTCTCTGGATAGGCTGCTTCGGGGCTGAAAGGCCCCGTCCCGGGATGCTCTTTCAATCTCAATCCCCAAAGTCGAGGAGCTGACGGAGACGGGGGTAGGGAAACTGGTGCAGATCCAAGGAATGGAATCTTACTCGCCAAACCTTCCCGAACCCTCATCCGGACAACCCAGGACTCGGTCCATCCCCTCCCCCACCCACAGCCCACCACCCACCCAGCCAGCGGGCCGGACAGCGCACGCCGCAGAGCCGCCCGCAGGGGGAGCCACAGGCCCCGCCGCCGCCGGATGCGCCCGGTGGAACGCGGGAGTGCGGACATTCCCGTAAGTTTCCGGTTGGCCTCCTCCGACCAATCAGCACTGTCCCGACGCGCCCCGCCGCCGGCCCCGACTCAGCCAATCGGGGCCCAAGATTCACGCGCCGCGAAAGGGGCGGATTTTAAGTATTAAAGGAACCCCGCAGATGGTTGGCGCTGCGAGAAAGATTGACCACCAGGGGGGCGCCTCGGGCCCAATTTTCCTTACTTGACTGGGAGACAACACCTAGGCTCCAAGATTTCATTTCTAAGACGTGACTCTGGAAAAAGGGCCAGGGGTTTTGGAAGACGGTGGACAAAAGTCTGAAACACGCTCAGCACTTCACTTATTTTCTCGACAATTTTTAAATATGTAATTCCCTTTTGCAGACAAGAAAACGTAAGTTATATAAAAAGCAGTGCTTAGCACGCAGTAGGCACAGTTTCTTCTTTTCCCACTGCTATAACCCTTATCTTTATTCCTGACTTGGGGTCCTCATCTTTAATGCACTACCCAGCTTCGTCAGGGTTTTGGAAAAAGTAGCCTTCACACCAGAGGCCGACCCACCCTTTTTGGAAGAATGGAACCAGGGCACAGAGGACAGCATTTGCATTAGTCCCTTTCAGAGTGTGAAAGGCACCTCTTCCTAATGCACTTATCTCCCTAGATCCCAGGGTCTCCCCCGCCCCCAGAGGATTTAACAGAGGAGGCCCGAACCTTTAGTTCCCCTGGGGACTTGTTAGGAACTCAACAAAAGTTTCTATTTCTGTAATGTTGTGTATAAACCAGTTACATATATACAAACCACAACCATTTGTTTAGCGAATAGCCATAACAAATACTATTTAATATCAGATTAGCCTAACAGGTCATGTAGTAATGTCTTGGCTTGATTATTTCCTTACCTTCCGGAGCGCTTTAGGCTCCGCCTTGACCTTCCTCGGATCCCAGGTTCTCTCCCGCCCACACCCCCAATTACGGTGTTATATCCTAAGGAAATCAAAGCATAACGTAGGAAGAGGGACATCTTATCTCCCCTCCCCTTAGATGTTTCAGGGAACTCTAGGAGCGTCCGGAGAGCCATCGTAGATACAGCAGGAGTGCCGCTAGGAGAGAGGCGGGCAATCCGTTGGGCACCCTAGATCAAAGCTTTGCGGCTAGACACTCCCCCATTCTCCACCCAGTGGTCGCCCTGTAGACTACAGTATCCACTCCCGTGACTATGAGTCATAGGGTCGGGAGGCTCCGGGATGCTGACCACCGCTCTGGAAACAGGAGATGGCAGGTCACACTGCAGGTCAGCCTCCTCGCAATGATCTCGCACCTCACCGCATCAACCTTAGGAGTCGGGACTCGTACGCCCCTCCAAAGCGAAGTCTAGCCCTCCCGGGAGTCGGCCTCGGGCTCCGCCCCCTACATTCACGCTGGGAAGAACATAGAGTTCTCCCTCCCAAATGGCTATATGGTCCTAGTTGGGATCACAAAGATTTCCGGTGTAGAGAGGAAGCCCGGGTAATCGTCCCCCCTCCTCGTTGGTCGCTCTTGGCTTCTAGTCTAGATCCGAGTTAAACAAAGAGGCGGAGTTTGGTGACGAACTTCCGCCGGGTTGCGTAGCAGCGGTGGGCGGGGCAAGGGACCCATCTCACAAGGCGACGAGTGGTTGGAACCTTCTCTCGCCTTCCCCTTCCCCTTCCCCTCCCAGGATAGGCTGGGACCCGGCACCGGAGCTATCCCGTGGCCGCTGCGGCCTCAGCTCCAGCCGGGCCGGGGTACGGAGAGTCCAGACCGCTTCCAGGGCGGTGCGTACTGCGCCTGCGCCGACTCCCACCTAAAAAAGGGTGTGGGACGGGAGGGCCGATGTCCCACGGGGATTGGGGCGGGGGTTCAAGATATTGGAGGTCAGGAGAAGGGATAGGAGTAAAGATGAAAAATGGAGGAAGGGAGCAGGAATAGGGAGGAGTCCGGAGGTGAGAAAGGGGCGCTGGAGGGTGGGTTGTTGGGGAGGTACATTGGAGTAGTGGAGTCTTAAGTGCGGGAGGGGGTCTGGGCTGACTGGAGGACAGGGAGGAGGGGACCTGGGGCTACAACGTGGTGTTTAAATGGGCAGTGACGACGGGCTGGGAGGGGAGGGAGGGAACGTTCTGGGGGCTAGCCTGGGCAGGGGCGGCGGAATCTGAACCCCCGCCCTCGAAGCGCCATAGCTTGGCTCCTCTCCCGTGCCTTGTCTTTGGCAGCCTTGTCTTCCTCCTCCATTCCTTTCCCCCCCTCCCTCTCTCACCCCTCCTTGAAGGAATCTCACATTCCTTACATCCCTTCCTTGGCGTTGCAGCCGGGCCCTTTCGCAGGCTTCACACACCGGAAAGCCTTCCCCAACCCAGAACTCTGCGAAATTGGGGAATGGGGAGGAGGGGGCTGGAGAAGGAGCAGAAAGCTGAGAGAGGTGAGAGTGTTTTGCCCGGGGGACTGACAGACATCTTCCCCATTCAGAAACTGACTTCATTCTCCGTAATAGCATCTGTGGCTGTTGAAGGAGCCACTGTTCATGGGGACTGGGCTGTGATAGTGATAGTTTAACCACTTCCTAAACAGGTGGTTTTAGGGTCTGACAATAGGGCAAGAAGCTGATAGGGTTGCTGGTTGGTAGTTTTCCCCCAGATGGGAATGGGGTAGACTAGTGGTAGTCAATCTGAGTGATGTGATAATATTACTACTCTGTGTGTCCGCCTGACTGTGTCTGGGCCTGGTTCCTGGTAATCGAAAAGGAACAAGCTCCTTTCAAGCATTTCCTCACTAGCCTTCAGTACTCTAAATTTATTTTGCATTTTATTACTACAAATATCTTACCTGAAACATAGCTGTATTCAGTATGTTTTCACATTTATTATGTTTTTGACTTTCAAGGACAACATATAAGGTAGATAAAGGCAGGTATCTTCCCTACTTGTCAGGTGAAGACATTGAAAACTGCAGAAGAGATACATGGCTTGTTTAAAGTCCTACAGTTGGCAGAGCTGGGACCAGAACCCAAGTCTCCTGACTCCTGGTCCTCCTCTCAGTTGAAAAATCCTGTTTTCTTCTGGCTAAGGGAACATCCCAGCATGGGCAAAATTCTGAGTCTGGAGCTTGTCACTAGAAGACTGAGCATAACCAGCAACAGTGGTTCCTGGAAGCATTTCATGAAATACAGGTGCATATGCCAGACTATGGGGAAATAGGGTGTTGTCAAAATGGAAACAGCATTATAGTCTTCTCTGTGTTATGGATGAGGGAGAAACAACTCCCTCGCTACCCCCCAAAGAGAAAGTGTGTCTGACATTGCGCCTTCATCTCTCTGGTTAGTTTAATAATATTACACTAAACGTGTTGTGGCTGATGAGCATAGGAAACTAATGAGCATGTGTACAGGACTCAGAAGATGAAATGGTCTCAGTTTTATGTGTAAAAATGATCCTCATCATATTGCTTTGTAACACAGCCCTTAATTTGTTGATAGCCATGTGATGGGGAGGAAACGAGTTTGAATAGTTACTATTCTCCTGTGTAGTATTGAGTAGATCTCACAGCACTCTTCATCTGAAGCCTTGTCCCCCTTTACTTGGTCCTATTCTTTTGGTAATGATAGTCTAGTCAGCCTAATCATACCTCTAGTCTTCCCAGTCGCCCACTTGGGAGTGATTTCCCATTTCACTGCCGCCGCCTCCTCCTCCTCTTCTTCTTCTTCTTTATTTT